ATGTTAATCATCCCCTCCCCCTCTCTGTTTCAAAAGCTCGTTCACAATTCCATCAGCCCCTGCCTTTTTTCTATTCTTGAGTTTCGCTACGCAGTCCTCTACCTCTTCTCGTGTGAACTCTCCCTGCAACCCGTCTACATCACTACGTTCCCTCTGAGATCTTTCAACGTTTTCCTCTGCCCACGAGTTGATTTCCTTCTCAAACTCCGAGTCGAAGTTGTCGTTGGTGGTGGGTGTCCCAAGTTTGCGGTAGTGCTCTACTAGTACTTCCCTCTTTCCTTTAGAACTGCTTACCATCTTACCCTCGGCAGATCTTAGTGTCGTTATTTCCGTGTCTCCCCCTCTTTTGTTGCCCACTATCCCTTGAATTCCTACCCACATTTGCTTCATCCCCCCCTCAAAATCTTCGTTAGTCTTTTGGACTACTTCCTCCCACAACCCTTTCTTCTTCTTCACGACCAACTCCTTCACCCTCTTTCTACTTTCAACATACTCCTTCCATCCTGCATCTGTTTTCCCTGCCGCATATTTTGCGTGTGACTCTCTACGTACTCGAATTGCTTGCTTGATTTCTTCGTCCCACCACTTCACTGCTCTCTTACAAACTATCAACTTTCTACCTAGAACTCTGCTTGCTGTTGTGTTTACCAGCTCTTCCCACCCTTCTATGATTCTAGACCCGGCCTGGTCCCGGCCTTCGGCATCCTTTCGGTGTACCCATTGCCTCCATCAACTCCGAGAGTTTCTTGTAGTTTATAGCCCATCTCCTTCTTGGAACTCTACCCTCGTTTCTTCTACTTCTAGCTTATCTATTCTCCATCTGTACATTTTCCTGCGTCGCCTACTCTGTATGACTCTCTTCTGTTGTAGGGCTGTCCACACCAACGCGTGGTCTGTAGTGCCTACATCCGTTGTGCATACTCGTACTTCCGTCTCTTTCCCCCCATTCTCTACGACTATATAGTCAAGGATGGATCGTTCTCCTTTTTTGAAACATTGCCTAGTCCATTCCGGTTCTGTCTTTCGTACTCTACCGTTCAACACCTTCATCTCGCTACTGTCAAGGAACCTCAGCATTTCTTCCCCGTTTTTGTTCGTGGCTCCCTCCCCGTATTGCCCTATGGTTCCGTGTGGGTTCGTGGTTCGCCCGATTCTTGAATTGAAGTCCCCAACTAGAACTACTTCTCCCTTTCTCTTGAAATTTTGTACATCCGCTGCTACCTCCTCGAAACCTATCCTGATGTCTTTCACCATATTCTTCGACTCTGGTGGCATATATACATTTCCTACGAACAAGTCCTTTCTTCCCCGTTCCCCTGGTACCCTTATCCACATGCTTTCGTTGAATTTGGTGTCGCTGATCACCTCAACTATGTCGCACATGTGCTCCTTGACAAAGAATCCAACTCCCCCCTCCCCTCTACTCTTGATTTTCTGTCCTCTCCTCATTTTACCTATCCATGTGTAGCTTCCCACTTCTTTTCCTATTTCTCCCCCGTCCTTCTCCCACGACTCTTGGACTCCGACTATGTCCAGGTCTTTTTCGGCCGCTTGCTCGGCAATTTCGAGTCTTTTACGCTCATCTGTGGCAAATCCGCATACATTCCAAGACCCTATTCTGATTTCCTTACTCCTACTTTCTACTTTCCTGTGCCTTTCAGGATTCCTTTTGTCCCTCATTTGCCTTCCCTTCTGCCTTATCCTATCGCTGCCCCCCCCTTCTCCTACTTTGGCTTGCTTTCCCTTTTGACCCTTTCGGGCCTCCTGCCCCCCTTTGTTTTCAGCCAGCCTTGGGCTACGCCTTACTTCCTGGATCCTATTTGCTATGCACACCCTCCAACCTAGTCTCCTCACCCACGCCGACATCTTCTCTACTTCTAGTCTTTCCCATTCTGCGCTTACTCTCCTTCCAAACGTGATTCTAAAGTGGTTTCCTTCCCTTTCTACCCCCCGCCGGGGGGGGGGGGGGGGGGGGGGAAAAAGGAACCCCGCCCTTCAGCGACGGGGGGGGGAAGACAAACCCCCCCCCCGGGA